CTCACTGATTGGCATATCAAAAATGGCCCAATCCACCACCTAGTGCGATACCATAATCGAGTTTAGGGGTCTGGTGTAACATTCCAGTTTTGCCCACTAATCGCCAAGGTCCAGGGCAATACTGGAATTCTAGTCCGGTTCAAGGTCTTAAGATGATCCCACACTGCATGTACCTCGGGTCTCACCCTAGTGGCAGAGAAAGGCCACCCCAATCGACTTGGCGGTACATCAGTGTCAGCCTTATCAGGGTAGGTCTCCCCATACCGACTGATTGGCTGTGAACGTTCTAAACCAACACAAGTCTCATAAGTGTCCGGTTTTAAGGGTATTACACAGAAACACACCACATAACAAGAATCAAATATGCACTTTATCCATTTACAATAAATGTCATAAGTACATCAAACTGATTGGAGCTAAGGGTATACAAAACTGTCTAACAGTTTTGCAATGCAATTTCATTTGTATTAATACAAATTCATGGGCGTGTAAATGAAAAGAGTGTAAATTTTGGTTTACTACACTTTTGCTTCAGAAATTTAGTTTACTTTGCTTGATAAAATATACTCTTTATTTTATATTTCATATTTTATATTTTTTGCTCAACTTGCTGATAGGTTTGTACATCTAAAAGTTAAATCCAAATATCATATGTATCATATATGATTAATACTTACTTACACACTCACATACTTTTACACTAGTCTTGAGCGATGCAAACAAACAAAACAAATGTTAAGTGGAATTTACACTCAACTCTTGTGCACTACCTTTGCACCAGCACAACTGAAATTGTACTGCAAACAAATGAGATCAAATAGAACCAAACAATGTAATTAGAGTAACATTTAGCTTGTATGTGATGTTCAGAAATCCAACTCTAATTGAAAGGGAACAAAAGGAAAAGGGAAATTAAGAGAGATAAAATCTAGGTTGTCTGAAGGGATGAGAGATACATCCCATGGACGCCCAAAGATTGCGGAATAAGGGGGTGAATTTCAAAAAATTTTCTCTCCCTTCAACTGGGAATCGTATTCCCAATTTAGAAAATCATATTTTCAAGGATCATTCTTGAACCATAAACTGAACCAGATCTGAACCAAAAGGAGTAGGAGAGGATTGTACCTGATCCGGAGAAATAGTATCTCCCAACGAAGGTGT